TCGGCTCAGGTCATGGTCCCAGGGTCCTGGGATCGAGCCCCGCATCGGGCTCCCTGCTCAGCGGGAAGCCTGCTTCTCCCTCTCCCACTCCCGCTCCCGCTGCTTGTGTTCCCTCTCTCACTGTATCTCTCTCTGTCAAATAAATAAAAAATCTTTAAAAAAAAAAAAAAAAGAAATGCAGTTAATTTTTATGTGTTGACCTTATATACCGGACCTTGCTAAATTTATTTTAGTTTTTTGTAGATTCCTTGGGAATTTCTGTGTAGACATGTCATCTGTGAATAGGGACAATTTTATTTCTTCCTTTCCAGTCTGTTTGCCTTTTTTTTCTTTGTCTTGCTTTTGGATATTGAACTAGCCTTGATTGGGTGGGGTGATAGACCTCACTTATTCAGGTATATTATTATATTTATATGTTGCTTTATTTGAGTTGGTAATATCTTATGGGGTTTTATGTCTATATTCATGAGGGATGTTGATCTATAGTTTTCTTATACTGTCTTTGGTCTTGGTATCATGGTGATGCTGGTCTTGTTAAATTAGCTGGAAAGTGTTCCTCCTTTTTTTTTTTTTTTATTAATTTGGTGGGGGAGGGGCAGGAGAGAGAGAGAGAATCTTAAGCAGGCTCCGTGCTCACCTCTTGAGCCTGACATGGGGCTTGATCTCACTACCCTGAGATCATGACCTGAGCTGAAACCAAGAGTCGGATGCTTGACTGACTGCGCCACCCAGGCGCCCCCCGCTTCTTCTATTTCCTGAAAAAGATTGTGTAGATAATTGATACTTTTTTTCTTTAAATGTTTGATAGAGTTCTCCAGTGGAACAATTTGAGCCTGGGGATTTCTTTTTCTGAAGACTTAACTATGGATTCAATTTAATAGATGTAGGACTATTTAGGTAATCTCATTAATGTCTTTTTATTATTTCCTTCCTTCTACTTGCTTTAGGTTTAGTTCTCTTTTTTCTAGATTCTTAAGGTAGAAGTTCAGATTATTATGAGACCAATCTTCTTTTTTTTTTTTTTTAGATTTTATTTATTTATTTGACAGAGAGGGACACAGCGAGAGAGGGAACACAAGTGGGGGAGAGGGAGAAGCAGGCTTCCCGCTGAGCAGGAAGCCTGATGTGGGGCTCAATCCCGGGACCCCGGGCTCATGACCTGAGCCGAAGGCAGATGCTTAACTACTGAGCCACCCAGGCGCCCTGGGACCATTCTTCTTTTTAAGCATTTAATGCTCCAAATTTCCCCTTCAACATTGCTTTATCTACATCCTATAGATTTTGATATATTTTCATTTTTATTGAGTTCAGATATTTTCTAATTTCCCTCAAGATTTCTTTTTATGAACCATTGATTATTTAGAAATGTGTTGTTTTATTGGGACTACAAAATAAAAAGCTTCTGTACAGTGAAGGAAACAGTCAACAAAACTAAAAGACAGCCTATGGAATGGGAGAAGATACTTGCAAATGACACATCCAATGAAGGGTTAGTATCCAAAATACATAAAGAACTGATATAACTCAACACCCAAAAAAACCAAATAATCAAATTAAAAATGGGCAGAAGGCATGAACAAGCATTTCTCCAAAGAAGACATACAGATGGTCAAGAGACACGTGAAAAGATGCTCAACATCACTCACCATCAAGGAAATGCAAATCAAAACTACAAGGAGATACCATCACACACCTCTCAGAATGGCTAAAATCAAAACCACAGGAAATAGGTGTTGGCCAGGATGTGGAGAAAAAGGAACCCTCTTATACCATCGGTGGGAATGCAAACTGGTGCAACCACTCTGGAAAACAGTATGGAGGTTACTTAAAAAGCTAAAAATAGGGGCACCTGGGTGGCTCAGTCGTTGAGCATCTGCCTTTGGTTCAGTTCATGGTCCCAGGGTCCTGGGATCGAGCCCCGCATCGGGCTCCCTGCTCCGAGGGAGGCCTGCTTTTCCCTCTCCCACTCCCCCTGCTTATATTCCCTCTCTCGCTATGTCTCTCTCTGTCAAATAAATAAATAAAATCTTAAAAAAAAAAAAGTTTAAAATAGAACTACCAGTGATTCAGTAATCACACTACTGGGTATTTACCCCAAGAATACAAAAACACTAATTCAAAGGGATATATGTACCCTATGTTTATAGCAGCATTATTTACAATAGGTGAATTATGGAAGCAGCCCAAGTGTCTATTGAGAGATGAATGGATAAAGAAGATGTGGTGTATATATATACACAAAGGAATGTTACCAGCCGTAAAAATGCATGAAATCTTGTCATCTGTAATGACATGCATTGAACTAGAGTATTATGCCAAGGGAAATAAGTCAGAGAAAGACAAATCATATGATTTCACTCATGTAGAATTTAAGAAACAAAACAAATGAACAAAGGGGAAAAAAAAGAAAGAGTGAGGCAAACCAAGAAATAGACTCTTAACCATCAAGAACAAATGGATGGTTACCAGAGGGCAGGAAGGTGGGGGGATGGGTGAAATAGGTGATGGGGATTAAGGAGCACGCTTGTGATGAGCACTGGATGATATATGGAATTGTTGAATTGCTATCATGTACGCCTGAAACTAATGCTATATGTTAACTATACTGGAATTAAAATAAAAACTTAATTAAAAAATAAAACCTTCAGGTTTTAAGGGTTAAGTTTAACTTTATATTTTAATGAATAGTTGATGTAGAAAGCTGAAAGTTAAAAAAAGAAAGGTGTTGTTTTATTTTTTAAAAATTCCATCCATTTATTTGAGAGAGAGCACGCACAAGTGGGGGAAGAGGCAGAAGGAGAGGGAGAAGCAGGCTCCCAGCCGAGCAGGGAGCCCCATGTGGGGCTCGATCCCAGGATCATGACCTGAGTCGAAGGCAGACGCCTAACCGACTGAGCCACCCAGGCACCCCTAGAAAGGTGTTTTTTTTTTAAAGATTTTATTTATTTATTTGACAGAGACAGAGATAGCGAGAGCAGGAACACAAGCAGGGGGAGTGGGAGAGGGAGAAGCAGGCTTCCCCTTGAGGAGGGAGCCCGATGTGGGACTCGATCCCAGGACCCTGGGATCATGACCTGAGCCGAAGGCAGACGCTTAACGACTGAGCCACCCAGGCGCCCTAGAAAGGTGTTTTTTTTATAGCCAAGTATTTGGAGATACTTCTGTTGTATTTCTATGACTTATTTCTAGTTTAATTTCATTATGTCAGGAAACTTTGTGTGGTATCAGTGGAGCTTGTGAAGGTTTGTTTTATGACCCGGGCATGGTCTGCTTTGGCGTATGTTCCATTTATACTTGAAAGGAACATGGACTCTGCTGTTGGGTGGAGTATTCTGTGATCTTGTTTAGGTTTACTGGTTGATGGTGGTGGTGAGTTCTTCTATGTCCCTGTTCCTTTTCCGTGCTCTAGCTCTGTTGATTATTAAGAGTTTTGAAATCTTAAGGGATAATTGTAAATTTTTTATTTCTCCTTTCATATCTGTCAGTTTTTGCTTTAAAGTATCTAAAGCACTTTTGTTAGGGACATATTTAGAATTCTTAGGTTATCTTGACGAGTTGACTTTTTATCATTATACAGTATCTCTTTTTATCCCTTGCAATTTTCTTGGCTTTGATGTCCACTTGGACATTAATACAGCCACTCCTATTTTCTTTTGCTGAGTGCTTGCATGGAATAGTTTTTCCATCCTTTTCATCTACTTATGTCATTATATTCAAAGTGAGTTTCTTAATAGTTGGTGGTTTTCTTTTTTTTTTTTAATCCACTGTGTCAGTCTCTATCTTTTAACTAGTCTGGTAAGACCATTTAAAATTAATTATTCATATGTTGGATTTAGTTCTACCATTTTATTATTTGTTATCTTATTCTCTTTGTTGTTCCCGTTTCTCCTGCCTTCTTTTGTGTTACTTGAATATTTAAAAAATTTGTTTTGGTATTGGTATTTTAATTTATCTATTGTGTTTTTACTGTATCTTTCTGTGTAGTTTTTTTAGTGGTTTCCCTGAGGTTATAATCAATAGACTTTTCGCACTGTTTTTAGAATCTCTCTTCTACTACTTCATGTGGAATACAGCAATGTTAGCACCCCAGAGGCTCCTTTCTCCTTTCTCCTTTATGCTGGGTTGTCTTATGTATCACATGTACGTATGTTGGAAACCCAACAGACATTGTGATGGTTTTACGTTGAATTGTCAAACATATTTTAAAGAACTCGGGAGGTTAGTCTGTCACATTGAACGAGATTGTCTTTTCTTTTGCTCTTCCTTCTTTCCTGATGTGCCGAGTTTCCTTCTGCTGTCACGTCTGTTAGGCAAACTTTACTTAGCAGTTCTTTGAGAGCAGATCTGTGGGCATTATGTCCAGGTGGTACAGCTGCATTTTGTCGACTGGGTGGAGTCAGATTGGGTGGATCGTGCTTGCTCCATCTTACCTGGATCTGGAACCCTGGTATTGACTTTCTAATTTTCTGTGCTAATAGTGTTTTCCATTTCATAACTTCCAAAATTATTTCTCTGAAGAACTGCAGAAATGGCAGTGCCCTGATTATTACGAAAACAACGTCCACAAGATGCAGCTCCCGTTTTCCAGCAAGCTCCTCGGCAGCACTCTGAGCTCAGAGGAGAAGCAGGAACGGCGGCAGCAGCAGCTGCGGCGGCTGCAGGAGCTCAACGCCCGCCGGCGGGAGGAGAAGCTGCAGCTGGACCAGGAGCGTCTGGACAGACTGCTCTACGTGCAGGTACGTGTGCATCCCGGCAGCGGGCTCCGGCCTTTGCGCAAGGCAGTCCCAGAAAGGGTTCTCCCTACATCTTCCTCGGCCAGGAGATGCAGTGACTGTCTGAGTCCCCCTTGGGGTCAAGAAGGAGTCGCGGGTGCTGAGTGTGGAGCTCCTCAGCACAGAGGACCTGTGCTGTGCACAGAGCATCAGGTGTCTCTGACAGAGCTGTGCACTTTGGCTTCCCTCATTCACTTTGGCCTTGTCATCTTTGTTTTATAACTTTTTAATTGAAGTGTAGCACATGTGCTACCAAGTGCACAGATCTCAAGTGTGTAGCTCGATGGATTTTCACAACATGAAACACCCCATGTATCTGCCATCCAGAGCACTCCCAGCACCCCGGAAATCTCCTGCGTGTCCCCTCTTAGCCAGTAACCTTCCCACGTCTTCCCCACTCAAAAGGTAACGACGTTTCTGACACCTGGCACCATAGATTAGTTTTGCCTATTCAGGTGGTGCTAAGACCAGGGAACGATGCAGCCTAGAGACAGCTGGGGAGGAGGGCGGTGTGTGAACCACGTGTGGGAGGTGAGATTTTGTGGAGGGGCAGGCTAGGGGAGTGCTGGGAGCCCCCTCCTGCTGTAGTTTTTCTGTTTGGCTTCCAAGCTGCTTCTCTTTCCTTCCTGTATATGATTGCGCTGTCATCTTTGAAGATGAATTGCGACTGCTTGGGTTTCAGGAACTTCTAGAGGATGGCCAGATGGATCAGTTTCACAAAGCTCTGGTGGAACTGAACATGGACTCCCCGGAAGAGCTGCAGTCCTACATCCAGAAGCTCAGCTCAGCGGTGGAGCAGGCAAAGCAGAAAATCCTCCACGCAGAAGTCACCCTCGAGGTGGATGTGGTGGACAGCAAGCCAGAGGTACCAAGGACCTTGGGAGGAGGGTCCTGTAGGGTCATTTAGCCTGAGGGTGGGAGGAGTGTCTGGAGAAGGCTGACATCAGAGATGTGACCACACTTGGGAAGGCAGTGCGGTGCGTGCCGTCCACGTGGACAGGGACGGGGCAGAGATGGCACTGACTTCGTGCTGACCTGATGGCTTTTACCCTGTAGACCTCTGGCCCCCCTGGGACGGGGAACTGTTCTTGTAGAACATTCACGCACCTGCCGTGTGGTGCCATCTTGGAATCTGAACATTCTCTTTCGATGGTTATTTGCAGTTAGTCACACACTCTTTTCTACTTTTTTCTGATATATTTTTAAAATTTTTTATTGTTATGTTAATCACCATATATTACATCATTAGATTTTTTTTTACATTTTTATTATTATGTTAATCACCATACATTACATCACTAGTTTTTGATGTAGTGATCCATGATTCATTGTTTGCGTATAACACCCAGTGCTCCATGCAGTACGTGGCCTCTTTAATACCCATCACCAGCCTAACCCATCCCCCCACCCCCCACATCATTAGTTTTTTTTGTTTTTTTTTTTTTAAGATTTTATTTATTTATTTGACAGAGACATAGCAAGAGCAGGAACACAAGCAGGGGGAGTGGGAGAGGGAGAAGCAGGCTTCCCGCGGAGCAGGGAGCCCGATGTGGGACTCGATCCCAGGACCCTGGGATCATGACCTGAGTCGAAGGCAGACGCTTAACGACTGAGCCACCCAGGCGCCCCATCATTAGTTTTTGATGTAGTGTTCCATGATTCATTGTTTGTGCATAACACCCAGTGCTCTTCTGATATTTTTTTAATATATTGTGGTTCATGTTTCACTTCCTTTCCATCTTCATGTCCCCTAAGGACAGGGATCATGCTTCATGATAATTGATGGATTTTTTACAGCAAATAGCAGACGTACTTAATAAAATATCCATGGGTTGATTTAAGATCAGCCTTTTATGACTAAAACTAATTGTTTGAATAAGCTCTTTGGTGTTCTCTGTCTCTCCTTTTTGTTTCCACACCAGTGGCCTGTTTATAAGTGTTGATGTGGCATAAAGGCAGGTGGCAGGGCTGAGTGAGGGCCCCGGTGGTGCACACCCTCACCCTGGGCGCTGCACACCTGTACTCATGAGTTGGCTCGCCTGGCTTTAGAACTGGAAGAAAGTGTTAATAAAAGTGTGTGCATTGTTCCCGAATCTGTCTGCTCTGGAGTTCTAAGACAAAGGACTTGTTCATTGCCTTGTGACACTTCTAGGCCAGGATTAACCAATCTAGTGTGGTGGCTTTTTGTTTTTCAATCAACTTGCTTTAAATTCTAAAACCTATACTTTTATTTTTATTTATTTATTTTTTCTGTAGGTGGCTATGCCTTTAATAGTGAAAGATACATGTTCATCCTCACCGTTTTGAGGAAATGGCTCTTTTTTTTTTTAATTGTGTTTTATTATGTTAGTCACCGTAAGTTACATCATTAGTTTTTGATGTAGTGTTCCATGATTCATTTAAAACCTATACTTTTAGAAAGAAACAGTCCCATGGAAAAATCCAGTTTGGTGCTGGGCGTGGTGCGGCTGCTTGCCACTGACTTGAGATGTGTCTTTGGCTTGGCAGGAGGCCTGTTCTTGCTCCCGGCTCTCAGCTAGAGGCTCACTCACATGCTTGCTGCGCTCAGCCTCCATCCCAGCTCTCCTGCAGCTGAGACTCCCAGAGGCCAGCAACCGGCCAGGGCATGCGTGTCAGAGTAGACCCCAAGTCAGGCTTCCTGCACGTGGCTTCCGGGATGGCTGAGGTAGGGGCGAGGGGCCTTGACTACTGTCTTACTCTGGTGTGGTGTCCCAGGTCAGCCTCGAGGAGCCGGTGTGCCTTTCCTCGCTCGCCTCTCCCAGTTTCCCGGCTGTGCATCGGATCTCAGCTGTTTACTGGGATCCAGACCCATGTTGCCTTTGTTGTCTATTCATCTGTGTTCAGTTTTCATCGTGCTTAATGCGCCAGTAGGACATCAGCATCTTTATACCAGAGATGTGCCGCTAAGCCACGGGCAGGCGAGGGATTTCAGATTTAAAAAGAAAAGCCCAAACGACTGTAAAATGTGATTCCTGAGCAGTTGAGGAGCTAGTTTTTCCTTCCCTTTGTTCATTTTTCTGCATTTGTTACAGGCTGTGATTCAGCCACTCCTTCATACATTTAGCAGGTCCTTATTAAGTCCCTACTTCGTTCTGTGCTCTGGGGATACGTATTCTCTCTGGGCTTGGGGAGGTTTTGAAATGTTGGACTTCCAGTAGTTTCTCTATATACAGTGATGAGTTGATCTGTCCCCAAAGCATTGAGGGTGTCAGCATTTACTGAGGGTGATTGTTAGTGTTTAGGGTTGGTTACAGTAACTTTCATGGGATAAATGTGACCACAACACTGGCCGGCTGGTTCTACCTTTCAAAAAGTATTTATAGTGTGTTTTCCAACTATGTAATTCATTTAGAATGAAGGGAATGGATTTATGTGGATCAAAGTTCATATTGAAATGCAGTAATGGCTAAATTGGATTAATCCAGCAAAATTTTTAACTTACAGTGTTTCCTAAAGTCCATTTTTTTTCCCACAGACCAGGCCATTCCAGCTCTTGCTATTCTGCAAATATTGTGATGAAGATGTTGTAAAGGAGTAGGCTTTGTTAGCATTCCTAAGGAAGTATTTATTTATTTATTTTTATTTATTTTTTTTAAAGATTTTATTTATTTATTTGAGAGAGAGAGTGAGAGAGAGAAAGAGCACAAGAGGGGGGAGCGGGAGAGGGAGAAGCAGACTCCCTGCTGAGCAGGGAGCCCGATGTGGGACTCGATCCAGGGACTCCAGGATCATGACCTGAGCCAAAGGCAGTCGCTTAACCAACTGAGCCACCCAGGCGCCCCTTAAGGAAGCATTTAGACTAGAGGATGTTAGCCTTCCGTCACTGTAAGCACAGCAGTGGTTGTGGGGGGGGTGGGCACAGTTTTAGAGCACCATTACCTGTTGGAGAACACAATGAGCTTAATACAGAAGGTTCTCTTGCCTGATTAGCCAAGATCAGAGCTGGCCTCTGCTTGTTCTTTTATTTTTTTAAGATTTTGTTTATGAGAGAGAATGAGCAAGGGAGTGGCAGAGGGAGAAGCAGGAGAAGCAAAGCAGACTCCCCGCTGAGCAGGGAGCCCGATGCAGGGCTTGAAACAGGACCCTGGGATCATGACCTGAGCCAAAGGCAGACGCTTAACGACTGAGCCACCCAGGCGCCCCTGGCCTCTGCTTGTTCTGATGCCGCTCAGTCAAGATTGTTCCAGGGAACCATGCTGCATCTTCTCTGATGTGCTTTGGCAAACTATCATTCTGTTCAGTTCCAAAAGAATGCCTATTTGTGTTCCTGAACGCCACACAATGCATGTGGAGGCTCTGGCAAACCGTAGAGAGAGAGAAGCCAACCATGGTAGAGGAATCTGTTCTCTATAGGGTCTCTATAGCCCATTGTCTGCTTTGAAATTATTAGCTTTGGGGCGCCTGGGTGGCTCAGTTGGTTAAGCGACTGCCTTCGGCTCAGGTCATGATCCTGGAGTCCCTGGATCGAGTCCTGCATCGGGCTCTCTGCTCGGCAGGGAGCCTGCTTCTCCCTCTGACCCTCCCCCCTCTCATGTGTTCTCTCTCTCTCTCTCTTTCTCTCTGTCTCAAATAAATAAATAAAATCTTTAAAAAAAAAAAAAGAAATTATTAGCTTTGTTTTTCTGTGAATCATACAAATTAGGATAAGTATATGTGCTGCCGAAGTGAGCACACGAATTAGGATAAGTAAAGTATCTTTTTATCATTTTTAGTGAAGCTTAGAAGTTATCTTTAAGGTGACATGCTTCTGAGTACAGCTAGGTGAAGGTGGATGATAATGTTTTTGCCGTAGCTGAGGAAGCCTATTGAAACTCGAACATTTTACAGTCCTCTTTTCCAGGGAAATTGGAGGGTGTATCCCAGGGCTCACCACTCAGTGGTAGGTATGGTATGCTAGGGACTAATGATGCAATTAAGGTACATTTCCTGCACTCTTTGGTACCTAAAAAAATAAGGCTTTCGGATCATACTTAGCTGACTAATGAAGCTTATCTGGTGTGATGGTACATGTGTGTGGGAATTTAGATGAAGTTTTGAGAAAGGATCCGATATGTGAGCTGGGCCCTGAAAGGTGATATGATTTCAGTAGGTATCAGGTGAGGAGGGACGGACATTATGGATCAAGACGTTTAGATGCAAAGCAGCCCGCGGGCAGGGAGCACTGTAGGTTGGGTGTGGAGTGCGGGAGATGGAGCAGGGGAGGGAGGCAGGGGCCGGCCGATAAAGGTCTTTGTCAGTCAGCCTGGATATTATCCTTTATAAGACAGAGTCTTCAAAGGATGTCCAGCAAGGAAGTAATCCAAGGAGACTTGCTGTTAGGAGAAGAACTGGTGGCAGTTAGATGGAGAGGTGAGGCTGGAAGTGGGAAGGCAGGATATAAATGTGTTGCGGCAGTCCGGCGGAGAGCTGGTGGAGGGGGTGGGAGAGTAGCCATGGCAATGGGAGGTGGAGGAGACACTTCAGAGGTAGCTCCAAGGATTTGGGTGCCACTTAGGGGCAATGGTGACAGGAGTGGCGGTGGCTGGTAACAGAACGTGTGACACGTGCCAGACCCTGTACTGAGCATTTCTGTAAGTGTCGTCTTGATTCTGTGAGTACTGTTATATTTCCATTGGACAAATAAGGAAACTCAGGTTCAGGAGGGTGAAGGAATTTGCCCAGAGTTGCACAGCTAGAGGTAACGTAGCTGAGGATTGGACCCAAGCGATCCGATTGCAGATTCACTCTGGTCCCACTGAGGTCCCACGGAGGTGCTCCTAAAAGGCTCCGGCTGGGGGTAGTACCTTTGGTTTGAGCACCTTATCTTCAAAGGACTTCAGGTGGAATTTGCCAGGACCCAGCCATGGAAGGAGCTAGAATCGCATGGGGAGTGAGAAAAGGATGCCTGGGGAAGGCCTCTGCTTAGGGGTCCAGGAGTTGAGGAAAAGCCGGGGGAAGAGGCCGAGGAAGAGCAGAGACGAGAGAGCAGCAGGGGTGGCGGGCTCAGCCTCGGATGGGCGATGGCACGGGAGCATGGAAGGACGGGAGGACGGGTGAAGAGGTGGGGTGCAGGAGAAGTAGAAACACCTGAGGCAAGCTGCTGAGAACCGCCAGCGGTGACTGGAAAGGGGCCTGAGGAGAAGTGCTGGGAGGGGTTGCAGACACCTGCTCTGGGGAATGCACAGAGGAGCTGAAGAGGACCATAGGCCCACTAGCAGCAGCCTGGCACTTTCTTTCTCCACTCTTGCCCACGCCCACGAGGAGCATATTTCACTTACCTGTTGCCATGTGGAAAAGCACTCCAAACTTAGTAGCATAAAATGATGATCATTGTGTTGTGCTCACAAATTTGACGGGTCAGGAATTCGGGCAGAGCGTAGCAGGGATCTCTGCTCTGTGATGCCTGGGGCCTCAGCTGGGAAGACTTGGACATCTGGGGACTGGGAGCCCTGGATGGTTTTTCACTTTGCTAACATCTGAGCCGGAATGACTCAAAGGCCATGCTTAGCAAGATGGTGGACCTGAGCACCCACACCCACCGAGCACCCAGACAGGAGCAAAGCCCGTGCCTGTCCATGTGCCTTGGGCTTCTCAGCTTGGCAACTGGCTTCCAGGAGGGAGCTCCCCAAGGGAGAGTAGCCAGAGAGCCAGTGTTTCAAGAGGTCAAGGTAAAGGGAACTGTGTGGCCTCGTATGACCTCACATTGGAAGTCACATGACACCGCTTGCACCATACTCTATTGGTTGGAGTCCCACAGGTCCCTGCTAAGATTCAAGGGGAGGAAATAAACCACACCTCAGAATCCCCTTGAGGAAGAGCTTGTCGGATGGAAGATATCGTTGTGACTGTTTTTGAAAAATACAATCTACCCCAGCGCAGAAGTGGAAAGAGCATTGGGTGGCACCCTTTAGGATTTGAGAGTGGTTGGTAGAGCAGGTAGGGTCGGGCTGGAGGGTGGCAGTTGCGATTGGGCTCCGGGGCGGGTAGAGGAAGGTGTGAATGCACAAGGGAGGTCATCACTGGGAGGTCAGAGAGGTTAGAGGAGTGGAGGTTGGGATGAAGATGAGGAAGATGGAGGTGTGTGGGGGCGGGTAGAGCAGAAGGTAGGAGAGAACTCCATGGAGCCCAAGGCTTGCCTTTACTCATTATTATTTGGGGGAAGGACCCACAAGTTTGGCCTGTAGTTATTTTAAATACACAGGTGACATTTGTGTGCCACCAGCCCGGTATTGTAACAATTATCTAAGGGGCCAAAGTGAGTGCCTAGTTAGAAGAAGGAAGAAGTGTTCAGTTCTCACCCCACCACTGCCCTAGGGGTGCGCCCTACTTACAGAGGAGGAAGTGGGCTCAGACTGAGCCATTCAGAGCTGGACCGATGTGACCCTTAAGCCTTGCCTCTTTCTGTAACACCGCACTGCTCCTGGTTGCTTGTCGTCCCGGATGACAAGCCACCAAATGAGAGAGAATTTTCGCGATCCGTTTCCGATCCTCTCTTGGGACCCCGGAGTTTAGTGCCAAGCCAGAACAGGCACAGGCATTCCCAGGGTTGGGGCTACTTTCTGGGAGATGAGAGTCTTCCAGATTAGAAACCTCACACCTCCAGGGGAGCAGTCCTTCTAACGAGTTCTGCGGCCCCTGCCGCCCCTGCCGGGGCAGAGAAGCCTGTCGCTTCATTCAGCTGGCCTTGCTGCCGCTTGTAGATCTTTTGTTCTCTTCTTGTTCACCTTGACCTCAGGGAGCTCTTTTCCATACTTGCAGAGCCAGTTGTCCTGCCGCACTCAGACTCCCGATGTATAGAATTTCAGCTTGAGGCAGCGCAAAGACTTTGGAGCTAAGCCATCTGTCTTGGGCCAGGTTTCTACCACTTACTAGTGTGATGTGATCTTGGGCAAGTCTTGGTCCCCCGTTGAGCCCATTTCCTCGCCCATGAAGCTCAGGAGTCATCTCTGCAGGGAAGATTGTGGAGGAGCGGGTTGCCTGTTCTTGAATTGGGTTCAGTATTCCGATGGCTCTTGCCTCCTTCCCTGAGAGCAAGGTCCTTGGATTCTCACCTCCCAGCCCACCCTCTTTCCTCCTTAAATTACCTATTTCCAGACCAGTCCCTCTCTTCCTGTTCTCTAGTCTCAGAGGAAGAAATGTTCCCCGTCCTTTCCAGGGTTTACTCCTTCCTTAAATTTATAATTTATGTAGAGGTAGAATGCTCTATATTGAACAGAATTTAGGATACGTTGTCCCCCATTCTATAAGCCATATATGCATGTGACTGTTCTGGTGTGTGTGTGCCAGAGGAGTGTTGAAGGGCACTGCCTTGTTTAAGAGTGAGTTTGAGTGCCTGGGTGGCTCAGTTGGTTGAGCATCCGACTCTTGATTTCAGCTCAGGTCATGATCTCAGGGTCCTGAGATTGAGCCCTGAATCGGGCTCCACACTGAGCATGGAGCTTGCTTGGGATTCTTTCTCTGTCTCCTTCTGCCCCTCCTGACTCGTGTGCAGTCTCTCTCTCTCTCTCTAAAAATAAAAATAAAAAAACCTTTAAAAAGAGAAGGAGGAAGTTTGAATGCTAATTTACATTGGCAGTATATGTGGCTAGGGTCTAGAGATTGTATTTAAGTGCTCTGAATGATGTTGGTAGTTTATATACGTCACAGACTCCAAGGGTGAGGCCAGACTCAGGGTACATACTCCACGCAGGGACCTCCCCTCGGGCATGCCAGGTGGATAGTACTGAGTCGGCTTGTGTCCTCCCAAGATGCCTTCTCATAAAACAGTCCTTTCTCCGCCAGCTGTCATTGTTAGAGCGGTTCTGCATAGAATTTCTTCCTGTAACTTCTTCCCCTTGAGTCCAAATGGTAAAACTTCTCTGCCTTTCACATGGCAGAACGACAGATGGCTAGAATGTCACCTAGAACCACACCACCCCCTGCCCAAATTCTTTTGTCCGGGTCCAAATCACAATATACCGTAAGTCCTCTACTGGGAGCGGTGCCAGCGTGTGTAGGTTCTACCCAGGTTCGCTGTGGCTGAAGCGGAAAGCCCGTTCTGCGGGGCACCACAGTCCCGAAGCTCTCTGCCGCCTCAGGAGCTCTTAGTCACGTCTCCAGCCCAGTGGACCAGCCGATAAGAGACTACTTATTAAAGCCCGTTAGTGTTGGCACTTGGATTTATTAATCGTTAAGAGATTTATTTAATTTTGCAGGTGTCTGGGCCACTCTGTAGGATACAACTCTTGCTCTCTCTCCCGCAGAGTTGCGTGTGCAGTCTCGTGCCTAACGCAGACAGCATGACCCCCCCCGCCCCCCTCTCCGGGCCCGCCGGAGGGCTTCAGAGAGGAGATGGGAGTTGTTGAGGTTTGTGTGAGGGGGAGGGGACAGGAGCAAAGCCCATGCCTGGCTTTTTAGGCTTTTAATCCTTGTGTTCACATGTCTTAACTTCTTCTTTTTAATAGTTTAGAAAATTTTTCATAGTTTCTATATAAACTTCCAGGACATTGAGCAAAACACCAATTCTTGTTTGTGACCGTGAACTGATAGAGTGAAGGCCTCCTGAAGCTACAGGTGCTGTTTTGTTCTGTTTCTTCTGTTCTTAGACCCCTGACCTGGAGCAGCTAGAGCCGTCTCTGGAAGATGTGGAAAGCATCCATGATTTTGAACCCTTGTTTTCAGAGGAAACCCCTGAAGCGGAGAAGCCAGTCACCACTGTCCAGGTTGGGCCCCTGTAGCCTGCACCATGCTTCTGCTTTGAAACCTTTGACATAAAAGACCAGTCTGCCCTAGTTTGCTTCTTTAGGAATATTTTTGCAAAAAGAAAAAAAAAAAAATTCCAGTTGTATTTTCTAGAAAGGTTGGGGGCTAGGGTACTAACACTAAAACATCTGAAGTCAGGGCTTTTCCTACTGATTGATTGGGGTTCCAGCACTAAGATTGTGACCCTGTGGGAAACAGTCCGCCTTGGTAGAAATGTTTAGGCAAGTAATTGAGGACTTTAGACCTGAAGCCTAGCTTTAGTGGTTTCATTTAAATTTAAGCCAGTGTAATTGTGCTTAATCCTCATTTGGGCCTATGTATCTGTCAGGGCAAATGGCCACCAGACAGACTGACCTGAGTCTGGGGCTCACCTGGGAGAGCGCTTTCCCGGCCGCGCAGGGACCAGGCTGCTGAGCAGGGTGGTGGTAGGAGGCTTGGCCGGCCAGTGCCGGGCCTTCCTGCTACCTCTCTTCATGAGCTCTTTCCCTGCGACGCGGGGACCATTTCGTGATGCAAAGGTGAAGGTATTTGTAATACAGAGGTGGGAGAAAGGCAGGTAATGGAATTATCCTATCAGGAGAGTTGGGGAGAGGTTATTCTGGCAGGAACGAAGGACAGAAGCTATGTTGGCATAAGAAATACAGTTTGAGGGAACTGGCAACTGGAATGTTTGTCACTGTGGCCTAAAAATATCTTCTAAACCTTGGGTTTTTAAAGCCCGTGTTTAACTTGGCAGCCTATCATCAGCTGTTTGTCGGGACAGAAAGAATTCGAGCTCCAGAAATTATCTTCCAGCCATCCCTCATAGGGGAGGAGCAGGCTGGGATAGCAGAGACCCTTCAGTACATCCTGGACAGGTGAGACTGAACCTTCTTTTCCTTCGATTTTCCGGAACCGTTTCCTCAGATTTCGCACTGAGTAGTAGATGAGGTGGGCATTTGAAAATCTGCCTCACGCCCTCCTTTTTATTGACTTGCTGTGCTCAGATAGTATTCTTTATCTCTCCCCAACCCCGGCACATTGCAGAGGCTCTGTAATTCTTTTCTAAAAATGTAAGTGCTCAGTTGATTTGAGGAGCTTTAAGAAATTCTTTGACGTTTAAGCAGCACAACAATATATGTGCATTGACTTTCATATAAACCTTGACATTATTGAAGACTGGTGATTTTTAAGTTCCCTAAAAACGTGCAGAGCTTAGAAAAGTTTTTTTTCCTCCTCGCAGACATTTTATTTAAGAGTTTGCACTTCCATAAGATGCTCTTCCCCCATCCCATTTATACAGGCATTTTCCTGCAGTGTGAAATTGTCCTAATTCAAGCTGGACAAGTGGAGAGCATGATTTGTAGTTTTCTGGCTGCTGTTGGTTGAAACAGGATGAAAACTGGCACCTAGCAAGGAAGAAAAGCTACTGCGGCCAATGTGTATGAGTGGCTTTGAGCTTTGTCTTAATGGGAAAGTGCTCAAACATGTGTAAGATAAAGCTGTTATTTAAGGAAAAAAAAAAAGGAAAAAAAAAACCCATGCAGGTGGAAAGGTGGGCCAGCAGAAGGGAGGCAGGACTTTTTGGGGTGTTGGAAATGTTCTGTTTCTTGATTGTGGTGATGGTTACTGGGGGGTATACATTTGTCAGACTTCATCAAAATGTTTGGAAATCAGTCCTCCATAAAGTCAGTTTTTTAAAAAAGTGTGTTAAAAGACACAAAACTTCTAATCTTACTAAGGAAATGAATTCTGTAAAGTCATAAGTGAAAAATGGAAGTTTTGTGTTTTTTTTTTTTAATTTATTTTAGAGGGTGGGGAGGGGCAGAGGGAGAGGGAGAGAGAATCTCATGGAGCCCAACGTGGGGCTCGATCTCACATCACAACCCTGAGATCGTGACCTGAGTTGAAATCAAGAGTTGGACACTTCCCGACTGAGCCACCCAGGTACCTGCCTGGAAGTTTTTTAATTTTT